ATGGATGTGAGAGTTGGACTATAAAGAAAGCTGAGTGCAGAAGAATGCTTTTCTTGATATTTCTGAACTGTGGTGTTGGAAAAGACTTTTGAGAGTCCCTTGGACTGCAAGGAGATCAACCAGTCCATCCTAAAGGAGATCAGTCCTGGGTGTTCACTGGAAGGACTGATGTTGAAGCTGAAACTCCAATACTTTGGCCACGTGATGCGAAGAGCTGACTCATTTGAAAAGACCCTGATGCTGGGAAAGATTGAAGGCGGGAGGAGAAGGGGATGACAGGATGAGATGGTTGGATGGCATCACTGTCACAATGGACATGAGTCTAGGTGGACTCCGGGAGTTGGTGATGGACAGGGAGGCCTGGTGTGCTGCGGTTCATGGGGTCACAAAGAGTCGGACATGACTGAGCGACTGAACTGAACTGAATGATTAGTGATATCAAACATTGGTCAAAAGGTTTTCAACCAGAAGGATCCATCCTCTGGGAAGTTAGCAACGTTGGCAGTGGAAGTGTGGTTAACATGTGTGGATCAGGACAGATGCGGAGACCTTTTGAAATCACACTTTCCTGTGCAGTGAGTCACCTTGCTGAATGGAGGGCTCTCAGATATATTCCTAACATAGATACGTGACAGGATATCAGTGCAAGGAAAACCAGAGATGGGGCTTCACTGATGCCAGTGATATGGAAGGACCACATAAGACAATTGTGTCCAGTGAGAGGGTGTTTGTTATGTGGGTCAAAAGGCTTTTCACATGCATAGAGTTCAGATTTTTCCCTAAGCTCCCCTCATTTATATGCAATTATTTCACTCATTTGAAAGAATTCATATGAGTGAAAGAATCCTTTCATGTGGCCAACCGCTGCATAGACTTTGGATTCATGACACTGGCATGCTGCAGCCCCACATATAATCTGGGGTCTCAAAAGCTGGCATTAGGTCCCTTTTGACTTCCGCATCCATCCCAGTCTTGGGAGAGGGGTCATCAGCTTCTACTGCACATCTCTAGTGGCAGAGAGCTTTGTTCTCCCCAAGCCACTCGTGCCAAATGTGGAGACAGCTGTCGTCAGTAGAGACATCTTTCTCACAGTCACTGTGAATCAGCACCCCCACAACTCCCACCCAGACATGTAACTTTCTCTTCCTTCACCCATAGTTGTATTGAAAGACAAGAAGATATCAACTTGTTTCCCCTAAATCTTCTCCTTTCCAGGCCAAACAGGGGCTGCTAGCATGTCTCAAAGTCTGACGTGCAAACAAATCACTAGGGAACCTTTTGAAGATGCAGATGGAGATTCTGGATTTCTAACAAGTTCCCTGGTCATGTGGAGGCTCCTGGTCCAGGGACCACACTTAGAGACACATGACTGGGGGTTTGAGTGCCCAGCCCGAAGTGAGGGACCTGACCGTGAGAGCGGGCTCCTCAGTGGGTGACGGCTGACTGGGGGAAGTTACTCCTCTCAGTCCTCTGCTTCCTGTTCACTCACATGAAGCTACTGAAGGTGCTTCCGTAGGTTTGTGGTGAGGTCTGAGGCCAGGCTCCAGTCTCCTCTGTCGGGGGCTGGCATAGCCTGTGTGACGGACATTGTGAGCTCTTGGTCATTCTCCACTGAAGAGCCCGAGGACCTTCGGTCATTCCCTCAAGCTGCTCTGCACTCTTATTCCTCCCCTGGAGAGACCTGGAAGAGCTGTCAGTCATAGTAGAGGGGCAGCGTGCTAAACAGAAGATGCAGGCATGGCCTTTACCTGCAGCTTTCATAAACACTATGCTCACCATTCTCTCCACTATTCTATTAAACATGATGGTAGAAATAGTGGGTTTTCTGGGCAACTCAGGTGAGTGAAACATCAACTCAGAAGCTGATGAGCATATCAGTTCAGTTCAGTTGCTCAGTCGTGTCCTACTGTTTGTGATCCCATGGACTGCACCACAGCAGGCTTCCCTGTCCATCACCAACTCCTGGAGTTTACTCAAACTCATGTTCATCAAGTCAGCGATGCCATCCAACTATCTCAGGAAATGCTGGACATATCAGCATCCAACCATCTCATGATATGATGGACATATCAGCAAAGGTCTATTCTACCAGGCTACACTTGGTTCTATGCTCATGCCGATTAGAAATGCTAGTGAAAAAATAGCTAAGCCAGTACATTTTGATATGGCAAGACAGAAGGATGAGTATTTAATACATGTCATCTTTGTTTGATAGATCAAAGATGGGGAACTTCTTGCTTCCTCATAAACTGATGCACCACTTTGTACTTCCTGGCTCAGATCAGGTGTCATTCCCACAGAAGTCCCCTTTTCCCTCCAGGCTGAGCCAGATGCCCTCCAGACCACCATACTAAATCCCTTATCATGTGGGCTTGTCTTTCTTCTCTGTCAGATTTGAATTCCCTGGGCACAGAGATCAGATCTTATTATCACGGTATCTTTGGTGCCCAGTGAATCACCTGGCACAGAGCAGGAACTCTGGAAATGTAAAGAGAGGGAGGAAAGAAAAGAAAAAAAAAAAAGGGTAAGAGGGAGGAATGGGGGGAGGAAGGAAGGAGGCATTAATAACTGCCCCCAACCCCAAACAGAAACAGAAAGAAATCTATTTGCAAATGAGTTGATCTTCAGTGACTGCCATCTCTGGAGGCATTATCTGCTTCTGAGGAACTTAGGTACTTTGCTGTGAATGATGGAGGCCTTCCATCCAGCTGACTTGCTGGGGGGCTAGATGTCCAAGGAAGGAATCCTCACTCTAGATTTGTGAATGGATGCTGCATTCTGCCAGACACTCTTTCCTCTTTCCTCATCCACAGGGGCAGAGGACTGGGGAGCTGATCTTGATCTCCAAGTATCTATCTTTATGTTTTTGGCTCCATCAATAGCCCTGCTCACATTGTTCCTCAGACAGAAGGTGACTGGTGTCCAAACATGTGTTGGACAGTTTGCTTCAGTTGTGTCCAACCCTTTTGACCCTACAGACTGTAGCCCACCAGCCTCCTCTGTGCATGGGATTCTTCAGGCAAGAATATTGGAGTGGGTTGCCATGCCCTCCTCTAGAGGATCTTCTCAACCCAGGGATCAAACTGGCATCTCCTACATCTCCTGCATGGCAGGTGGATTCTTTACCACTGAGCCACTGGGGAAGCCTGGTGCCCAAACTTGAACTCTCCTTATATAAAGTATATTTTTCCTTGTGGGGACATGGTTACTGTAACTATGGTTATTTTTTAACTGGGGGACTCTTGTTAGGTAATTCTTTTCCTGGGTCCTAAGAATTTTGAAATGAGATACTATCTTTCCTATTTAAGTAAGATGAAAACAGGTGAGAGGATGCTTGGTGACTTGTTGGCAGAGCCAAGATTACAACTTTGTTCTCTTCATTGGCATCCCAGTGAGTGACTCATGGGTACCGGATTTCTCAGACAATGGCCTGCCTGAGTTCCTGGCTAACCAACCCGCTGACTCACCAGGTGTAGACAAGGCTCTTGGCATTGGGCTGGGGCCGGGGGCCTTGTGGAGCATTTTCACAGTGAAATTCAGGTGCAGTTGCACTTTTGTGGAAAACAAGCAGGTATATAAAACTCTGAATCCAAATCACAACCAAGAATATGTTTAAAGCCCCAGTTTCTGTGTGAGTCTGGGACACGGTGAGCTGGGGGCCTCTCCGTCTGCCCAGCCTAGAAATGGCATGTTTGCTAAAAGGTCCAGGGCAATGCAGTCTGTGTGGTCCCCTGGGACATGAGCAGCTCAGTCCTGACAGCTGTCTCGACAGCTGCCCGTTCTAAACGAGGACGAAGGCACTCTAGCTCCCGTCTTTCCCACAGTGCAAAGATTAAGAAGCTTCCGCGGAAGCCCTGGGTAGAGGCCCACGAAGCTGGCCTGCTTCTTTCCCAACACATTGTCCACAGTGGGTATCAGCTCACAGACCCTCACTGCTCTCAGCGGTGCAGAGGTGGTCACTGCACCCTGTTACCCTGAATTGATTCAGATTCTTTCCTCCACATCCCAGAGGGACTTGGGAGAAGTGTGATTTCCTTTTGAGCACACGGCACAAGTACCAGTGATTACATCAGGACTGTCGGGGCCTGACTTGGGTCCCAGTCATCCTTGATGGCGGCTAGGGTCTCCCTCATCTTTGCTGCTCCAGTGCTAGTAGAGAGCCTGGCCCGAGAAGGCAGGGACACTGGGATTGTGGTGGGTGAGTGCCGAGGCCACTCTGCTCCGAGTGGAGACCGTGGGTAGCCGCCCAATCGTGATGGCAGACCTGGAGGGTACGACTCTCTACTCACCAGCACAGACCCGTCACTGCCCACAGAAGATAAGAGTCCAGGGACAACACCTCGTCTGCAAACTTGTTTCACTTTTTACAAGGTGATCAGAAAATAGCCTTCAGAGGAAACTTTCATCAGTAAAGAAAACCCATTCTATTCAAATAAATATTTCTGCAAGATTGCCTTGGGTTGCTCCTCAGCCGTTTCCCCCCTAAGGTGAGCCGGAAGGGCTGCTGGGTCTGAGCGACGGTGGGGTGGCCCCTGTGTGACCTGACTTAGAAGGGGATGTGCTGGGTGGTATGCTTGCCAGCCAGGGCTCAGCGGGGCACAGCGTTTCTAGGGGCCTTAGTTGTGCTCAGGGTGTGAGCCAGCCCTTGAGGAGGAGTGGGTGGGATGCTGCGGGGAAGGCTTGTTAGGAATCAGGCTGGACACACATGGGTTCCAGGGTCAGGGGAGAAGGACAGGGAGGCAGGGAGGGAAGGAGTAAGGAAGAGGAGTGGGTCCGGGATCCAGGAGCTCTGAAGGGATTCTGCTTATGTGAGCAGAGCAGCGCCCTCCCAGGGAGGTGAGGCCCTCAGGATCCTGGCTTCCTCACAAATTTTAGGGATCTCAAACGGCTGAGTATGAGTTGATGTGTGTATGTGTGTGTGTGTGATTGTTCAGGGGGAGAGGGAAGTAGCTTTTCTGGGTTTGTTGTGGGGTCAGGGGCGGGTTTGCCCACTATGATTCTCAAGAAATGCCTTCTGTGGCAAAGTCCTCTAGGTCGTTGGTGGAGATGATGCCCAGGCTTGGAGCATCACCCTCCTCCTGCCCTGTACTCTGGGAAGGCCCCTCGGGGCGCTGGCCTGCAGAGGGCTGCGTGGGGTTGCCAGGAGCCTCAGAGGGCAGCTGCAGGACCACATCGTGGACGCTCTGGGGCCTGAGGCCGGCCGCCTCGGCGGTGTGAGGGCGCTGCCTTAGGAAGGTGGGGGCAGAGAGCTGAGAGGAGCAGCGCAAGGGCATCAGAGCCGTCACGGGCAGGGGCCGGGAGCCGGGGTACAGCACGTAGGGAGCAGCAAGGGCGTCTGGCGGGGTTGGCTCAGGGGAACCCCCCTCAGAGGATGGGATGGAGACCTTGACGTATTTGCCTGTCTCTGGGTCATAGAAGGTCTTGATTTTCACCTGGAGCGGCAAATCGAAGACAAAGTACTCTCCAGACTGGGGGTCTTGGAGGACCTTCTGGGTGGCAGGGTAAGGGGGCTGGGGTGTAAGGGACTGGGGCCCCCCAGGCCTCCTCTGGACTGGCTCTGAAAAGGCAGACACCGAGTGGCGATGCAGGGGAGGGGGCAAGGAGCGGACCACAGGGAACCTAGGACGGGGCCTCTCTCTGGGGGACAGTGGCCTATGCTCTGAGTCCTCGGGGTTCAGCTTTTCTTCTCGGCGTTCCCCATGCTTTTCCTGTGGCTGGTCGATCTTTCTCCTCTTGCTTGCCAGCTTCTTTGCCCGCCGTAGGGCCTTCTCTGTTTTGGGTGGGACGGCAGGTGGCTTGCCAGCCGCCCTCTCCAGCTGAGCAGGAGGCTCTGGCTTCTCCAGGAGGCCGGCTGAGCTGGTGGCCACATCCAGCAGAGAGCCTCTCGGAGAAAGCGTCCTGAGGTCTTCGGATGACAGCTCCAGCTGGGGGTCAGAGCCAGGTTCCCACGCGAGGGCGTGTGTCAGGTCCTCCCTCCGGGCCACCCTGCCAGGGCTGGGGCTGACCCAGAGGCTGCTGCCGGGAGGCTCCCCTGGCAGCAGGCCAGGCTCACTAGGGGCCTGGGAAGCATCGTCCCAAATGCTGCTGGCAGCCGGGGAACATGCACTACTCTCCTCCAGTGAGCTGGCATTGGGGGAACCCGCCAGTTCACTGGTGACCCATCTTCTCCCTGGGGGCCCTGCTCTGGGGGCAGACAAAAAGTGACTATTGAAGCCTTGCACCTGCTCTTCCCAAAAGGTTCCCAGCTGCTGTGGGGGTAGCTGGTCTTCTGGGTCATCTTCTGGCAAAGTGATGGTAGGGATGCACCTTGGAGCATCCAGCTTCACCGGGTCTGTTGAACCGCTCTTGCCATTGTTCACCATAACTTTCTGTGTGGCCTCTTGGGGTGGCTTCAGCCCCTGGCCCTCTCCTGTGAGTGGAGAAGATGGAACATACCACTTTGGGGTTGCCTGGGAGGTCTCCGACCTGGCGGCGCTGGGCTCCCACTCATGGCCCTCCAGCTCCTCACAGGCCACGCCCTTCACATGTGTTCGCCGTGCACTGGTGGGTGCCAGCGTGCTGGGCATTTCCTGGCTCTCAGGAGCACAGGGACCAGCATCCCCGCCCCAGCCTGGCCTTGGCAGTTCTTCCTCTTTGTAGCCACTTCCCACTGGGGACTCCGAGGACATGGACCTCAGGAGGGGCAGCATGATGGGTTTGATTACAGGGGTGGCCCTCAGGGTGTTATCTTTAATTGCGAAGAGTATATGCTTGTTTGAAGTGGAAGCTGGTGAAGGGGCAAGGCCTTTGGCATGTGAAAGAGTTTTATCTGACTTACTTCCCCCAGTCCCAGTGCCTCTGAAATTAGCTTCCTCCCTTGGCGCCTTCCTGGGGCTACCTCCTGGCAAACTTTCTTCTTCTGGCAAGGATTCCCGCTTGCTGTGCTCCTCCACGCATGCGTTCCCGTTACTCACGACACCGTACTCTAGCTCATCTTCCTCCATCACTTTCTCCTGCTCATCCTTCCGACCGTCACCTGCACTCATGTCGTTCCTGCCATCTTCCTGCTGGGTCTCTGTGAACCACGTCTTCTGCTGATCCTCGAACGAGGCAAAGGACTGATCTGAAGAGCTCGTGCTGAATTTGGCCTTACTTTTGAGTCCTGGCATAAAATCAGATTGGCTGTCGCTATAAAACACATCTTCTTCCTCGGGAGAAAGGGGCCCTGGGGAGAATTTCGGGTTGAAGTTTGGATTCTGAAGTCCTGCCTCTCTCTCGGGTTCTGTCTCTTGAGAGATGGATCTCAAGAATCCATTCTCTAGGCCGGGGGTCTTTGGGGTCTCCACAGCCTTCCCTGCCTCAGGATCTTCGCTGCAAAGTTTCAGAGACAGATGCTTCCTGCGGCGGTGTTGCCTGGAGTCCGGACGCCAGCCAGGCCTGGAGTCACCCATCTCTGATTCTCCATTGGTATCGTCCTTCTCAAAGTTGTTCCTGTTGGCAGCCTCGCCGTTGACACAGAAGGGGGCTTTGGTGATAGTTGATGGTGAGGTGGGAGTTAGGTAGTTGTCTGCAGAGGCTGTATCAGGGTCAGCTTTGGGGTCCTTCTGGGTACTGATGAGTGGCACAGAAGGGCCATCACCTGGGGTCTCCTTAGGGAGCTCATCCGGAAGGCTTTCCTCGAGCCCGTTGGGAAGGAGTCCACCGTTGCTCAGGGATTCTTGCTTGTCTCTGATTTTCTCATCCAGGCCTTTCACGAGAGGCGAGGGACTGTATGTGCTTTTTACACGCTTCCGCACATCTTTGAGGTTAAACAGCAGGCTGGGGGCTTTGGATTTGTAGCTGTCCCGGGACTGACATTCACTGGGCTCCTTCTCTTGGTATCCATTTAGCTGTCCTGGGGGTGAAGGGATTATCTCCGCTGGCTGGCTGTCAGATGACTCCAGGACCTGTTTGGTGGGTATGACAGGGGTCAGAAGCTTACTGATGTTGAAAGGAGGATCGTAATGCTCGTGGGGCTCCACAGGCACGTCAAGAGCATCCTGTTCTGGAAACTGCGCCTGGGGATTGTGCTTTGTATACAAGGCTGGGCCTCTCCAGTTGGTCTGTTTCTTCTCTTCCGAAGCATCTTGTAGACTGTCTTTCCCTCCCCTGGCAGACTTTGGTTTCCTCCAGGGGGCATGGGTCGGTTTCAATGGAGGAGGGTCAGGCTGTGAGCTGGAAGATTTTTCTTCTATAGCAAATACCTGGGCTCCCAAATCCCTCGACACCCAGGTTCCAGATGTGGAGAGCGTCCCTGCAGCCATCTTGTTCTCTTCCTGACCGCAGTTGGCCCGGACATGGCAGGGGGAGGTTTTGTGCTCAGGGGCCGGGGGCTCTCTTAACAAGGGTGTGTCCTCATAATGCTTGAGAGCCTTGCTTTCTGGGACAGCGTCAGCGGCGTCCTTCCTCTCGGGTAGCCTTGGCTGGTGGGCATTCCATGACTCAAAAGCACTGTTCTCACTATGGAGAAAGGTCCCTTTGCGAGCCCACTCCTGGCTCCTTCCAGGCTCACCAGTGGCTGCCTTGTGGGCAGGAGAGGGGAACTTTGGCTCGAATGAATTGGCTGCATGTTCAGGTGTTGGGAGGAAGCTGCTGGGGCCGTGACTGGCCATTTCGGAGTTCTTGGGGGCTTCCTGCTCTCCGTGCTTCCGGCCAGGCTGGTGGCTGGTCTGATGGGTGCTGGAGACTTCAGCAGGCACCCTCCTGACGGTCAAAAAGGCAGAATCGAAACAGAAGTTGACGCCGCTTTCCGGAAGAGGAGCAAATTTGGGGGGATTTTTGAGAGCTGGAGGCTTGCTGGCAGGAGGCCTGCTGTCGCAGCGTTGGGTTTCGGTCCTGTCGAAAGATTTGATCAGAGACGACACTTTGGAAATAGGCTTGTTGCTGCTCCTCAGGCCAGAAACTGGCACTTCTAGTCTCCTCTGGGCTGGTGTCAGTGGGGGGCTGCTTTTGGGGTACTTCTCCTCCCCTTGAACGTACTTGGGCAGCTGTTGGAATGTGGCTGCCCAGCCTGCATGCTCAGTACCTTGGGACGGTAACTGACTCCAGATGCCGCTTTTCCTGTGTGTGTGGCTCACCGTTCCCTGGTGAAAATTCCTGAACACCTGGCGGGTGATATCTGGGGACAGGGCCAGGTCGGAGTCATGGAAGGATGCGTCCTCTGAGATGCACAAGCTCCGGAACGCGCGGTCTGTGAGGCTGCTCACCTCCTTGTCTGCATCATCCAGCACACTGCCAATGCTTGAGGAGTCACTGAAGCCATCCGTGCACTTCTTACTCCCCTGCATCGTCTGCCAGCCAGGAAGCCTGTCCCTGTCAGCCAGTGGGTGCTTCTGGGTAATGATTTCAGAAGGGTTGGATGCAGCTCTCTTCCCACAAAACTAGAGCTTCCTGATGATCAGATGCAATTACAAAGTGGGAATTTCTTTTTCTCTGCAAAGGGAAGAAGTGCAGGTATGAATATGATACCCAACTTAGCGGCATCATATAAGATAACATGCTGCTGTGGATGGGCAAGGGTGCCTGTGATGGTGGATTTTACGTGTCAGCCTGGCTGGACCATGGTGCCCAGGTTTTGGTCAAATGCCAGTAAAGCAGTTTATACTCCACAGTGTGAGTGGGCCTTATCCACAAGGCTGAGAAACCCTGAGCAATAGGCAATCCTACTTCTAGTCTTTGGACTGGACTTGCAACATCATCTCCCACTTGGGTGTCCAGCGTGTTGGCCTGCCTGAAGATATTAGACTTGCCAGCACCATTGTGACATGAGCTAGTTCCTTACAATAATCTCCTTCTCCCTCCATGTACATATACATATATATATATACATGGGTGTATATATATATATATATATATATATACACACACACACACACACACGCACGGGTGTATATATATATATATAAATATAACAATAGGATGTATCTGTGTGTGTGTGTATGTGTGTGTGTATATGTATGTGTATATGTGTGTATATATTGATTCTGTTCCTCTGGAGAACCCTGACTAATACAGTGCCTTAAGTCCAGATGTGTCATTTTTGCAGAGAGAACTTCTCCGGCATTCCATGGGGGTGTTTCGTCCTTACTGTCTGTTACAGTGCCTGGTTCATTTCCTTTGTGGTCCTGAGCACAGTCTAAAATAAAATGTACTTCTTTCTTGACTAGCCTCTCCTTAGCCTATAAGAACCAGGTGCTCAGGAGCCACTAGACTGTCTGCTTGCTGACTGCCCTGGCCCCAGAGCCACCCCAAGAGGACACAGACGCTACAGCCTGCCTCGCCTGGGATCTTTCACTCTCTGACTTGCCCTTGGGTGTGGCCAGCGGGAGGTGCTGGCAGGAGCCTGGACTGAGGGGGACCCAGCATGCCAGGCGTTTCTGTCCCTCTGCTTGCTTCCTGCTCTGACTGTGGGTGGGGTCTGGGCAGGACTGCAGTCTTCTCTAACCAGGGCCCCTGCCCTGGGCTTTGATTCTCCCTGCTGCCCTTACCCTGGCTGTCACTTCCTCAGTGACTCCACCTCCTGCAGGCTCCCTATTTCTGACTACACTTCTGTTATAGCCCCTTCATTACATTCTTTTCTTCTTCCTTTTAAAATTGTGGTGACATACACAGGACACAAAATTTACTCTCTTCACCATTTTAAGTGTACGTTTTAATAGCATTAAGTGCATTCATACTGTTGTGCAGTCATCACCACCATCCATCTCCAGAACTTTTTCATCTTTCAAAACTGAACTCTGTACCCATTGAATAATAACCCCCATTCTGTCCTCCCCAAGTCCCTAGAAACTACCATTCTTCTTTCTATATCTATGAATTTGACTACTCTAAGGTACCTCATTTGTGTGGAATCAGACAGTATTTATCTTTTTGTGACCAATTTATTCACTTAGCATCATGTCCTCAAGGATCACCCATGCTGCAATATGTGTCAGAATTTCCTTCCTTTTCAAGATAATGTTGCATTGTATGTATATGTCACATTTTGTTTATCCATTCGTCTATCAATTGACACTGAGGTCGCTTCCACTTTTTGGCTATTGTGAATAATGCTGCTATGAACATGGGTGTCTGAATATCTGTTCAAGATCCTGCTTTCAATTTTGGGGGGGGGCACATACTCAGAGATGGAATTGATGGGTTGCATGGTCGTTCTAGTTTTAATTTTTTGAGAAGTCAGTATGCTATTTTCCACATCAGCTGTGTCATTTTATATACCTGCCAACAGTGCACAAGAGTTCCAATTTCTGTTTTTGGTTTTTTCCCCATAGTTGTGGTTGTGGTTGTTCAGCCACTCAGTTATGTCCCACTCTTTCCAACTCCATGGATACAGCACGTCAGGCTTCCCTGTCCTTCACTGTCTCCTGGAGTTTGCTCAAACTCATGTCCACTGAATCGATGATGTCGTTGATTTTTTTACAGTAGCCATCATAACATGTGTGAGGTGGTTCATTGCATTCCTTTCTGGATTCTTTCCGAGGATGCTGCTTCCTGACTGGGAGCCTGATCACTATTAGTGGGTATATACCTCTGATGCCTAGAGCAGGCCTGGCCAGGGCTGGGGACGAGCATGTGAAAAGTTAGATAAAATAGCAGGTATAGACCCTAGACTGGGCTCAAGTGGGGGGTGTTTGGGACAGTGAACTTCTAGCAGGGTGCTGTGAGCCTCAGCTGCCAGATGAAACACTCACACAGGCTTCCCATTCATGTTAGAAGAGGAAGCTGGAGAGGCGGCATGCCCCTGCTAGCCTGGCTGGCCTGCACAGTAAGCATAGGGGCCTGAACTGGCCTGCCAAGGATGGAGAATGAAGATGCTCCACCAGGGTAGTATGGCCGCACGTCAGGCCAAATCCCATCTTGGCTCCTCATAGAAGGTCACCTAAAGGTGTCCCACAGTGGCCCGATGCTGCCAGGCTAGCAGCACTGATCTAATCCCGGAAGCCGGCCTTCCTCAGAGTTTTCTGCTTCCTGTCTCTTGACCACAGTGCTCTGGTAGGCTTCTGCTGATTTGTTGGCAGGTTGACTTCTTTTTATGAATGAAAGGGCTGAGTTGGGGCTGCCAGAGAAAGCAAAGGACCTCAAGTTCTAGTAAACTGGATGAGCTGATGAGGCACCACTGACTGGCCCTGGAAAAGACTGTCTTTACGTGCCTTGAAAATTGGTGCTCTTGCTCCCCAGAAAGAACAGTAAGTGCCATCTAGAAGGCACGTGAAAGGGGAGAGCAGCCGCCTAGCCCCCGCACCTGGCCCACCTCACCCCATCCCCACCTCCTCTTCCCTCTTCTGCTTTGGCTCAAAAACCTGCAGAGGCTAATGCTCATGATTTCAGACCCCCACACAACTAGTTCTGAGCACAGGGGTGGAAGCATTCAGATGTCTGGGGAAATGATTGCCTTTCTGATCAAAGGAATGATCCCCATTGTCTCCACTCTCTTAGTGCCCCTTCTTCTTGCTTTATTGCACACAAGAAACCTGAAACTGTCTGTATTTGTTTGATCCCCTGGAGTAGGAAAGAGCAGCCCACTCCAGTGTTCTTGACTGGAGGATTTCATGGACAGACGAGCCTGATAGGCTACAGTCCATGGGATTGCAGAGTGTTGGACAGCACTCAGTGACTGAGTGCACACATATACACACACGCATGCACACACACACAATTCAACTTGTAGCACTGAGGTGTTCACTTTGCAGCCCTGAGGGAGAAACAACTCTGACTCAAGGTGATTTGCTGAGGACTGCCTGGCAGACAGAAGAATATTCCTGAGTCCTTGATGACGCTGCAGGGCTGTGAGCCTGGGCCAGAACCACCCCCTCCTCTGGAATCTGTGTTATTGGGGTAAGTTGGGGGCCCTCCGTGGCTTCAGTTACTGTAAGTCAGGTTTTCTGTATCTTGAGGTCTTAACGAGAGAGTCAGGGAGTCTTCTGGTATCCTGAATGCCGGGGTTTTGACCTCAACAATGACTGAACTCAGTAACACTGGGGTTTCTCTACTTCCACAATAACATGGAAATAGGATACTTGGGTATCTAAATTAGAATCTTAGAGTTAAGTATATACCCCCAGTCAATTAAATACCACCTACTACTAGCAGATATCTATTATTTTTAAACACTCATCTTCCATCCCCTCCTTTGAGTAAGAACACTTGATACCTTTTGGGAAGTTTCCTCCCCTCTTGGCCTTCAGTCTTCATGGGGCTGAAAGTCAAGGAGCCTGCAGAGACCTCTCAGGGCCAAGGGCACATATGAGACCCAGAGAAGCCTATGGCACTGTTTCTCCTGGAGCGATGTGAGGATGAAGCCTCCCTGCCCATCTTTGTCAGCGGCAGCACCTTCTTTTTGTCCTTTCTCGGCTTGGAACTTCAGCCTTCACCTTGAGTCTACAAGAGTTCCCATTTCCCTCTAATACTTATCTGTTTCTGATTTATTTGTCTAGTTTCTGTTCCTGTTGATGGACCAAAAAACCCAAACTGATCTAGGGTTTATGTCAGAATTCCAAACAGTTAACAAAAGCTGATCACTGGTATTTAGATTATTCAGAAAATAACCACATTCCTTCTGCCTCAGGAAGAGAGACCTCCCTCTTGCTGGCTTCATTCAGATACATTCTTCCACTCTTACTTGACTGACCTGGGTTCAATGGGATGATCATAAAGCTGGCTTCAGCCTCCCCATTCCCACGCCCTAATCTCCCAGGTACTCGGTGGAACCTTCAGCATAGTAACTCAAACTGAAAAGTTTCCAGGGCCTGGCTCTTGAATTAGTTCCATACCTGTTACAGGAGTGGGGACTGCTGGTGCCTGCCTTGTTGGGTTTTAGGATCTGTAGTTTTAAAACTTCTTTTCACGCTGACATTTGTTGACATTGCTGCTCATCTAGAGAGAAGAAGAAAAGTAATCTTGTTAGAACCCCTCAGGCCAAAAAACCAAGCAGGCATTCAGTGCAAAAGATACCTTTAAATATCAGCAATACAATTGGCTTTCAATTTTGTTTTAATTTCACATTTGAACTCAACAAAATTCCAAATATAGGCAAGGTAGTTTTATATCCCTTGCAATGTTCATGAATTTGTGTCTGGCCCAAGAAACCTTAAGAAACCTGTTTCATGCCTTTGGGATTTTTACTATGATTGGCTTAGTTGTGAAATCACTTTTTGCTAGTGATTTGCTTTGGGCCTTTGGCCCAAAGGCCCTTTTCCCGTGTGAAATAATAACTCGGGTTTTGCAGTAAAGAGAATTAGAGTGGTTGAACTTGAATCCACTCACAAGGAAGAAGTGTTCAATTTATTGT